ATAAATACAGATATCTGTTATGAGGTACATGGATGATCAATATCAACTACCGCATATCCTTTGGAGCTTGACAGACAACAGCGTTGGCAATGTGTCCGTTGTTCCCGGTCCTGCCCCAGTGTCTGAGCTTTCTTAGAAAACAACGCGAATATAAAGCGAACCTGGTCGAGGAACAAGCCCAAACTCATTCTTTCCATCCCCAAGGTTTTCGGGCGGTAGGTCGACCAAATAGAAGCTGTTTCGCTTTCTTTTCCGCTACTGCCAAAACGTTGGGAAACCATTGCAACTGCGACTTCTCAATCTGGAAAAACAGCGACCGTACACAAAGGTTATCAAGGATAAGTATATATAAGCTATTTGCAATATCTTGAGTTCGAACCATGTTGCGAAGCATGAATCAACGATTCCTCTCGGAAAGCCCATTTCAGCCGCCCGAGATCGAAGCTCTTCAGTCGTGGCCCAAGATTTATGTGGATGAAAGTTGACCTCAACAAAGTCTCAGACTCGCTTCTGCCTTGATCGCAATGGTTCACTGTAGTTTCCCAGAGAACATATGCGGCTATCCAGATTTTCTGATGGAATTCTTCTGCCAAATTTTATCCCCAGTACACGCGACCCTAAAGTGTGTGAGTGAAATTCTCCACCAATTTTAATGTTTCTCCATGTGTCCGCAGAGCAGAGGGGCTTCAGATTGAGGAAACACTAAGTCTTTGGTTGTAGGCATGTTCACAGTGAATGACAAGTCGTCCAGACCGAACCGAGATACAGTTTCAGAATATATAAGCAAAATAAGATCGTCTACAAATATCCACCTTCTTCTCTTGACATTTGCTACTGTCATACACTAGTCATCCTAGCCGTTCTTGACTGTCCTACAGGAGGGACGGCAGAACGCACTCTTGGCGGAGACCAGTGCCAATGTGGAAATGTCTGAATTTTGCTATGACTAATCACGTGATATCAACGTGGAGTGAATGAGTGGCTTATAACAGCTGGTCATCCATGACATAATTTCTGGAAGCACGCCTATTGATTGTAGCGCGGAATCCGGCAATCAGCTATCCACATGTCTGCAGAACACATTGAAGCCTGATGAGTCAACTCCCATGATGTGACAAGAATTTTGCCAAGGGATTAAATCTGGTCAGAGGAGCTTCTGCCTACGCTAAGGCCCACACTGCTAATCTTGCATGCTTGCATACATGTACTTCGCGCTTCTAAGCGTTCACTTGAGTTTGATATTAGCATGTCCTATCGACTGAGACTGGAAGTTAAACTTTGAAGAGAAATTTCCAGAAAGCGATGAATTAACGAGTTAAGGGGCTACAAACTGAAAAATGGTTTGAAAACCGGCCATGCGAAGAAATCCATAAGTCTTTAATTTGGATTTGTAAGTAGCCTGATAAACCGAGGTCAGATATTTGATATGATCAAGACACAAGAGGGCGGCTTAGAGAATGTTCATAGAATAAGAGACTTATTTCTTATTACCTGTCCTTAGGTGCATGGATAAAAAAATGCTAAGCCATGCTTACAGCTGACTGATCACTACTCGTTTCTTAGTTAGCTGCAACGAATTGTAGGTCGGTGAATTTTTTAAGGAACCGATTACTTAAAAACATTTTTCATTGCTGTAGCTATTGAGGCCAACGATATTGATCATAAATGTATAACAAACAATCCGACCGGCATCTTTTTCCGTATTTATAACGTGTAATACATTAACTGGAGCTGATTACTGTATAAATTTTAGACTCGATGGCAAGAGAAGCACTACCGAAGGTGAATGGAAAATATTTCACTGCAGAGGCGACGATATGGACGAGTGCTTGGACAAAATCAGCACTCCAATCACGTTTGAGAGCAGACAAAATGACTACGGTTCATATTATAATTATAACTTGCTGTTGCCTGAACTTTACCGACCTTATTATGAAACGAACAAGAAAACAACAACATGTGAAAGTATGAATAGTAATTTCAGTGACATGTTAATCCATTCTGCTGACAGGTGCTGAGCCGATCGCTGCTGGAAATAGGTGCTGCGTTGGTCAGCACAAAGACGTTGCCCATAATCTGTATCCCAATTATTTCCTGTCGTGCAAGAGGTCAAGAAAGAGTGAAGCGTAAGTTTTAAAAATCATCTTTTGAACGTCTGGTAGAATTCAAGTTCAAACTGTTCTTTGATTTTAAGTATTTGTCAGTACAAAGAAGAAACTACTAGAATAATTAATAGTCAGGGTCTGAAAATGAGTCACAACTGAACTGCCGGATATTTTTCGTTGCAGCTTCAACGATGAATACGAATTCCGGGCATATGGATGAGTAATTCCCCATCTGCTGTGACCATTCAAAGATATACGCATAAGCAGGCAACCTTGTCGGATAACCCCGTGTTTGTAATTTTTCTTTATCAGTCAAACTGATGGCACTTAATACGGCAAGGCATTCATTTATTGTCCCTATCTGAAACAAACCTCTTCAGTCGCTTCCTGGTCTATTTTCTAACGACATGGTTATATAATTAATAATCAGATGTGTTTCTACCAAGTATTGCATACAATAGGCAGTATATAAATATTCCTTATTAAATTTCATACAGTACTGGAAGCAGGTAATCCTTATTAGTTCAACCGTTTCCAAAATTGCCATTTCTTTTAAACCTTTAACATCAACTGCAGAATGTTTCTAATCTTCGTCCTCAGCTAATCCGGAAGGATTCAAAAATTATATTTGAAAGCAGAACAATATAGTAGAATCAACATGCCATATTTATTCATTAAACAGGGGACGTGGCGTTGAATTTAGATTGCGCAGTGAAATATTTCGATCCTAGAACATTATCATGTCATCCAATCACATCGGTTGTCATC